AACTAGATCTAAACCAGGTCTAAACCAGCAGGACTAAGACCAGGTCTAAACTAGTTCCTAAACCAGGACTAAACCTAGGTCTAAACCAGGTAAACCAGGGTCTAAACCTAAAAAACCACTAAACCAGGACTAAAACCAAAAAACTAAAAACAGGATAACAGGACCATGCTGTGTGTGAACGTGTTTCCTCTTCTTCTATCAATAATATTTTTAATTTGGTTCAGTAAAGTCTGGACTTTTCATTTTCTTTTATCAGACAAAACTTCTTATGTGAAGATTTCCTCGTCTTTGTTTCTCTACAGCAAATCAAGTAATCCAAATCTAATAATAATAGTAATCTAAACTCAGGATGATTTAGTCAGTCAGATGTTTTTCTTTTTGGTTCTTCCTGTGGATCAATCCTGCCCATCACCTTCACCTTTCACTATTTTTCAATTCCGTTGGGAAGAGAAACAGTTTGAACAGAGGTTTGAGTCACATACATCTGAAAGGAGGAAACAGGGTCAGATTTTTGACATTCAAATGTCTCTTATTCAGAAACTAGAGGAACTATTGAAATAAGTAAAGTATCAGAATGTAGGAAAGAGTTACACTCCAACAGGGTCAAGTTAAACCTGTCAGATTCTTTCAAGTTGTTCACAAAAAAATTAAAAACTCATGTCGGTAACGGAGGGAATGAAATATGCAGCACTTTTTGGTCAATAAATCCAAACAGTGAAAACTCTTGGTTCTCACTTCCATATCCTTAACAAACTGGTTTGAATATTTGCTTCATATAGTTTTCTACCATATGGTACAAGATTAGGTTGAAAAACCTCTGACTTTTTGACTCATGAGATTTTTTATTAAGAAAGTTCATGGTAACGGAGGGAAAAGTAACGGAGGGAAATTGTACAAACAAGTAGAAGGTGCAGGATTTTACATCATTTGTCACTTTTTTCTTCTGAAAACTTTAATATTACTTCAAAATGAAAGAAACTATTTCTAAAAAATATGTCAGTCCTTCCAAACAAATTTTTATCATTTTAAATACTTTTTTTTTTTTTTTTAATCATGTCCCTTCATCAACAGTTCAAAGATGGAATAACACAAGATATGATGAAATACATCCATTTATTTACATGATTTTTGGGTCTTTGAAATTTGGGAAATAATTTTTGTTCCATGTTTCATACATGGTCTGTTTAAAACATATGGAACTTTACAACCAAAAATGGTACAGAAAAAAGGTGAACAGTTTGATAAACTAGAGCACATATGTATCTGTTCAATACTGATTTTATATCAGATGAATTAACTTGAAGTTTTGGCCTTGTTGTTTACTTCTGTTTGACCGGGACCATTTATGGAGTTCGCAAACTTCCAAAGCTCGTTTTCCGCTGTTAGGATCCAACAACCACAACAATTAACGACGTCCGAATCCCAAAACTAAAATATGACAATATCAGAACCAGAAACAAAAGTGACATGGTTCAAAAGACTCGAAAAGATCGACTTTGACAATAGACACGTCCCACTGGGAAAACTAACAAACGGTTTGAGGAGTCAGAAATTCCAGATGTGTGTATGGTCCATTGTTGATCAAAATATCCAGTTCAAAATGAGCGGCGGCTGCGTCTGGAGAAGTTCTGTGCACCAGTGTCTGTCGCTGTGACAGAACCTCCAGACCGTCCGCTTCGTCCAACAGAGTTCAGTTCGTTTACACTTCTCAGACTGATCCTGGGAGACGGCCGGGGTCAGGAGGTCAAAGGTCGTCCCGCTCCATCGTTCACCCGGGGTCACGTGATCTACTCGAGTTACACGAAGCGAAGAAGTGAACTCGGACCTGAAGTGAGATCGTTAGAACGGAAAGGAGACAGACGTGTAAACAAAAGAGGAGAAGAGGAGGGGGATGAAGAGAGAGAGAGAGAGAGAGAGAGAGAGGAGAGAGAGAGAGAGAGAGAGAGAGAGAGAGAGAGAGAGGAGAGAAGGAGAGGAGAGAGAGAGAGAGAGAGAAGAGAGAGAGAGAGAGAGAGAGAGAGGAGAGAGACGAAGGAGAGAGGAGAGAGAGAGAGAGAGAGAGAGAGAGAGAGAGTGAGAAGAGAGAGAGAGAGGAGAGGGGAGAGAGAGAGGAGAGAGAGAGAGAGAGAGAGAGAGAGATGAGAGAGAGGAGAGAGAGGAGAGAGAGAGAGAGGAGAGAGAGTGAGAGAGGAGGAGAGAGAGAGAGTTAGAGAGTGAGAGAGAGAGAGGAAGAGAGAGAGAGGAGAGAGAGAGAGAGGAGAGAGAGAGAGGAGGAGAGAGAGAGAGGAGGAGAGAGGAGAGAGAGAGAGAGAGAGGAGGAGGAGAGAGAGAGAGAGGAGAGAGAGAGAGAGGAGGAGAGAGAGAGAGGAGAGAGTGAGAGAGAGAGTGAGAGAGAGGAGGAGAGAGAGAGAGGAGAGAGAGAGAGAGGAGAGAGAGAGAGAGGAGAGAGAGAGTGAGAGAGGAGGAGAGAGGGAGAGAGGAGAGAGGAGAGAGTGAGAGAGAGGAAGGAGAGAGAGAGAGGAGGAGAGAGAGAGGAGAGAGAGGAGGAGAGAGAGAGGAGGAGAGTGAGAGAGGAGAGAGAGAGAGGAGGAGAGAGAGAGGAGAGAGAGAGAGAGAGTGAGAGAGAGGAGGAGAGAGAGGAGAGAGTGAGAGAGAGAGAGAGAGAGAGAGGAGGAGAGAGAGAGAGAGGAGAGAGGAGAGAGAGGAGAGAGGAGGAGAGAGAGAGATGAGAGAGAGGAGAGAGAGAGAGAGAGAGAGAGGAGGAGAGACGAGAGAGTGAGAGAGAGGAGAGAGAGAGAGAGAGAGGAGTGAGAGAGAGGAGAGAGAGAGAGAGAGAGAGGAGAGAGAGGAGAGAGAGAGAGAGGAGGAGAGAGAGAGAGAGAGAGAGTGAGAGAGAGGAGAGAGAGAGAGAGAGGAGAGAGAGAGTGAGAGAGAGAGAGAGAGAGGAGAGAGAGAGAGAGTGAGTGAGGAGAGAGAGAGAGAGAGGAGGAGAGTGAGAGAGAGGAGGAGAGTGAGAGAGAGGAGGAGAGAGAGAGAGGAGAGAGAGAGTGAGGAGAGAGAGAGGAGAGAGAGTAGAGAGAGAGGAGGAGAGTGAGAGAGAGGAGAGAGAGGAGAGAGAGAAGTGAGAGAGAGGAGGAGAGTGAGAGAGGAGGAGAGAGAGAGAGTGAGAGAGAGGAGGAGAGTGAGAGAGAGGAGGAGAGGAGAGAGAGAGAGGAGAGAGAGAGGAGGAGAGAGGAGGAGAGTGAGAGAGAGGAGAGAGAGAGAGAGGGAGGAGAGTGAGAGAGAGAGGAGGAGAGTGAGAGAGAGGAGAGAGAGGAGATGAGAGAGAGGAGAGAGAGAGGAGAGAGAGGAGAGAGAGAGAGGAGGAGAGTGAGAGAGAGGAGGAGAGAGAGAGAGGAGAGACAGAGTGAGAGAGAGGAGAGTGAGAGAGAGGAGGAGAGTGAGAGAGAGGAGGAGAGATGAGAGAGAGAGGAGAGAGAGAGAGAGAGAGAGAGGAGGAGAGAGAGAGAGAGGAGAGAGGAGAGAGTGAGAGAGAGGAGAGAGAGAGTGAGGAGAGGAGGAGAGTGAGAGAGAGGAGAGGAGAGAGAGAGGAGAGTGAGAGAGAGGAGGAGAGAGGAGGAGAGTGAGAGAGAGGAGAGAGGAGAGAGAGAGTGAGAGAGAGGAGAGAGGAGGAGAGTGAGAGAGGAGGAGAGAGAGAGAGAGGAGAGAGAGAGAGGAGAGGAGGAGGGTGAGAGAGAGGAGAGAGAGAGAGTGAGAGAGAGGAGGAGAGAGAGAGAGTGAGAGAGAGGAGAGAGAGAGAGAGAGATGAGAGAGGAGGAGAGTGAGAGAGAGAGAGAGAGAGAGAGGAGAGAGAGAGAGAGTGAGGAGAGAGGAGGAGAGTGAGTGAGAGGAGGAGAGAGGAGGAGAGAGAGAGAGAGAGAGTGAGAGAGGAGGAGAGAAAGAGAGAGAGAGAGTGAGAGAGCAGAGAGGAGAGAGAGAGAGAGTGAGAGAGAGAGTGAGAGAGGAGGAGTGAGTGAGAGAGGAGTGAGAGAGGCGGAGAGTGAGAGAGAGAGGGAGAGAAAGAGGAGGAGAGAGTGAGAGAGAGAAGAAGAGAGGAGAGGAGGGAGAGGGAGAGAGAGGAGGAAGAGAGCGAGAGAGAGAGGAGGAGAGGGAGAGAGAGAGGAGAGAGAGAGAGAGGAGGAGAGGAAAAGAGAGGAAGAGAGTGAGAGAGAGAGGAGGAGAGTGAGAGAGAGCGAGAGATGAGGAGAGAAAAAGAGGAGGAGAGCATGAGAGGCAGAAAAGGAAGAGGTGAAGGTGGGAGGGAAGGAGAGGAGAAGAGGAGAAGGGGAGAGGAAGAGAGGAAGGGAGGAGAGAGGAAGAGAAGAGGAAAGGGAAAAGGGAGAGGGAGGGAGAGAGGAGGACAAATGAGTCACTGAATTCAGAATTTAAGTCTTTTTTTTAATTTAATTTTATATTTTAATAGGACTCAGATTGTTAGAAGCAAAATAGACAGACATGTGGAGAAGAGGAGGAGGGAGAGAGGAGAGAGAGAGAGAGAGACGGGAGAGGGAGAGAGAGACGGGGGGGGGGGGGGAGAGGTGTAGTGTTTTGTCTGAAGGCGCTGCTGTCTGGTGAAGAGTCTAATTTTAACTCCGACTAATGAGGAAAAGGCATAAAGACGGAGGCCCCGAGCTGAGCCCAGGAGGAGCGGGTCAAACGCAGGACAAATATCACACACATTTATGTAAAAACAAAAACAACACACAATGGAACTGTCCAAAATATCAAAACTCACACACTAATCCATAATAAAACTATAGCAGCAAAAGTAGATCCTCGTTTTTCTCACATATCGATGGACACAAACGGACTGGTGGACTCAACTGGTGGACTCCTGAACGCAGTGACAAAACCCTCTCTTTCTAACCTTTTTTTCAGGACGCTCCAGAACCATTCGATATTTCATTGGCTTGTGCTTTTTGGATGTGTTTCTGTGTCCAAAAAATGCATAATGAAGAAGAAAAAGCAACCTGACCAAACAAGGTAAACGGAGCGTCACTTCCTCTTCTGCGTCGCTGTCGTCAGACTCAGCATCAGTTCCAGTTAGAAATATTCTGGTGTGGTGCAGGAGTTTGACCCCCAGAATCTCATAGACGCATCAAGAATCTCAGACGTCCGGTCACTGCGTAATTCACACTGGGAAGGATCCTCAGAAGAAGTGAGCATCAAACCTCCATAATCCGTGTATCATTCGGTCATTCGTTTTTCAATATAAAACCAAAAATAAGAAAACGAAAAAACAACAGTTTTCTTCGTTATTTGTCTCCAAAACCAAAATGAAAAAACGGATAACGATTCGTTTTTTCAGTTTTCGATTTTGTGTTTAAATGAAGAATGGAAAAAATGGATAACGGCCGTTTCCCGTTTATGTGACTTCAGTGACTGTGATGCCGAACTTTTGCACCGCGTACGGACTGAACCAGGACTGATCCAGATCCGAGACCAGAGCAGGACTGAGACTGGGACAGAGCTGCTCTGGTTCTCCGCGCTCAAGAACCGCAGCTGGTTCCGAGGTGCAAAGCCTCCGACTGACGCTTTCACACCAACGAAAATGAATCGAACTAAGAGCTTTTGGTTCAAATGGACCAGGTCCGGGACCAGACGGACCAGAGCGCTGAGACCTGAGACCGAGACCACCGACCAGGACCAGACCGGGCCTGACCGAGACCGAGACAAGACCAGGAACAGACCGGGACCAGACCGGAGGCTCAGAGCCCACGGCAGGCCGAAAGCTGAGGCTCGGACCCCGTGGAGGCTCGGAGTCCACCCCCTGGTCCCGCTCTGGTCCCAGTCTGGTCCCGGTCTCAGTCCCCTCTGGTCCCGGTCTGGTCCCGGTCTCAGTCCCGGTCTGGTCCCGGTCTGGTCCCGGTCTGGTCCCGGTCTCAGTCCCGCTCTGGTCTCGGTCTGGTCTCGGACCTGGATCAGTCCTGGTTCAGTCCGTACGCGGTGCAAAAGTTTGGCATCGCAGTCACTGAAGTCACGTAAATGGGAAACGGCCGTTATCCGTTTTTTCCATTCTTCATTTAAACACAAAATCGAAAACTGAAAAAATTAGTCGTTATCCATTTTTTCATTTTGGTTTTGGAGACAAATAATGAAGAAAACTGTTGTTTTTTCGTTTTCTTATTTTTGGTTTTATATTGAAAAACGAATGAACGAATGATACACAGATTCTCCATGTTTGTTTTCCCAGTGGGACGTGTCTATTGTCAAAGTCGATCTTTTCAAGTCTTTTGAACCATTTCACTTTTGTTTCTGGTTCTGATATTGTCATATTTTAGTTTTGGGATTCGGACGTCGTAATTGTTGTGGTTGTTGGATCCTAACAGCGGAAAACGGCTCGAGAAATTTGTTTGCGAACTCCATAAATGCAAAAGTGAATCAGATGTGTGTGACTCAAACCTCTGTTCAAACTGTTTCTCTTCCCAACGGAATTGAAAAATAGTGAAAGGTGAAGGTGATGGGCAGAACTGATCCACAGGAAGAACCAAAAAGGAAACATTTGACTGACTAAATCATCCTGAGTTTACAGAGAACATTTTGTATGTGGAGCGACGACAAAACAAAACCCCGATTCCTCACTCAACCTCGATTACGAATTTAAAAAGTCAACGCCAAAGTGAAAGTCTCCAACTGTTCACCAAGAAACACCTTCCACTGCAAAGAGACCAAGACGTGATGTTGCTGTAAAACCACAAGAACAAGAAAGTGCAGCTCGGTCTGTTTGTCTTCTGCTTCTCTCCTTTTACTTTGATGGAGCAATACAAAAGTTCACTGCAAACTCGG